ATAACATAAAAATAACTGCAGTCTTTGTTATTTGATAGCCGCTTAAATTAAACAATTTTTATAGGGCAAGTAAAAACTGACTTCGGGCAAGTAGATCTCTGACCAACTTGCCTGACTGGGCAAGTGAAAAAAAAAACCTTAGCGTTGAACCCTGAAATGGCATCCTGATTTGTGCGGATTCTGGAAACTTTACCATTCTCATCTTACTGGACTTGAGTGCAGCGTTCGTTACGGTGGATCACAAAATTGTTCTCAACAGACTCAGAAACTGGGTTGGCATAGACGGGACTGCGCTTAACTGGCTTTCATCCTACCTATCAGACAGGGTATTCAAAGTAACTGTGGACAACTTTAGCTCTTCAACAGCTCCCGTGTCATGTGGGGTCCCGCAGGGCTCAGTCCTTGGCCCTATACTGTTCAGTTTGTTGTTGACCCTTGGACATATTATTTGCCATTTCACCCCTGTGTCATACCATTGTTACGCTGATGATTCCCAGTTGTATGTGTCAGTTAACCCGGAAAATCATAGCAATTTGGACTCTCTATACTGCTGCCTCACTGCCATTAAGAACTGGATGGCTTCCAACACAACACAAATAAGACTGAAGTACTGGTTATCGGTCCTGATCATATTTCTAACAGCATTGCCCCTCACCTTGGACCACTAACAATTAACACAAAACAGTCAGCTTGAAACTTGGGAGTTGTTTTTGACCATCAACTCAACTTCAATCAGCACATTAATAAACCTTGTTCAGTCCTGCTACATACAAATAAGAAATATTGCCAAAGTCAAACCAATGCTCCCCAGAAACATAGTTGAACAGCTCATCCACGGCCTCGTTTTCTCCGGTCTGGACTATTGTAATTCATTATTCACTTGCGTAAATGATACAGCAGTTGCCCGGTTACAGTTAATACGGAATGCAGCAGCAAGACTACTCACAAACACTCGTCGTAGGGAACACATCACTCCAATCCTTGCAGAATTACATTGGCTCCCCATCCGTTTCAGAATCCAGTTTAAAATTCTTTTAGTCACCTATAAATCTCTTCATGGTCTTGCTCCACTTTATATTTCAGAGCTCCTAACCCCCTATTCTGCACCCTCAGATCTGAGAATCAACTGCTGTTAAAGGTTCCACAGTCCAGGCTCAAAACAAAGGGAGATTGTGCTTTTACTGTTTTAGCCCCAACACTGTAGAACAAGGTACCCCTCAGTATCAAGTCAGCTGAGTCAGTGCCCCATTTTAAAAAAACTTTTAAAAACCTTCCTATACAGACTGGCATTTGTGTAATTAATTTGTGTAATTAACTTTTAATTGTCTTTCGCATATTTTAATGTTGTTTCTCTTACAATGTTTTATCATTGGATCAGTTTTACTGTATGATGTTTTTTTGTATTTTGTGAAGCACCCTGTAACCCTGGTTTTGAAAGGTGCTATAGAAATAAAGTTTATTATTATTATTAACTGCCAAAAACGAACCAACAAGATGCAGCAGCGAAACTGTTTGAAACAGCTGTTCTGTATTTTGAAACAGTCAGTAACATTCAGTAAATATTTCATGTTTCATTACTTTATATTCATGTAACAAATATACAAATGTCAATTAGATGGTAATCTGCATGTGAAATTCAGAAAAACAAATAAAAAATCGGTTATGCATATTCTATGCGGCTATTATAGTAAAAAATGCGGGCGCACGTGTGTTAAATTAACAGTCCCTTTATTCCAAAAGTTGTAAAGAAAGCAATGGAAGAACATTTAATAAAGCCCTGGAGGGCGGGAGTGGATGAACCAGGTTAAAGAGTACCCATGCAGACGGTATGCTCTAAAACTAAAGCTAGCGCGCCTGCAAGGAGGCAGGGATCATATTATTGGTCAACAATAAACCTGGCGTTCTATTGGTTAGGAGATTTTGACAGGGTTGTTACACAAAAAAATACAAGCGCACGGCAGAGATCTGAGAGCAGAAATTCCACAAGCTCACAAAAGCAGCTTGAGCGCGAGGAGAAGACCTGAAGCTGGAGCAGGAAATCTGTGCAAGCAACATTGTATCTGAGTGCAAACATACAGTTTGAGCAGAAACAGAGTATATCTAAGCACAAGCAGAGGCTATTTGAGTGCGAGGGCAGGGTTTTGAGGGACAATATTCCAAAATCTGAATGTGAAATCAATAAATAATGCTCTCAAATTGATATACCACTCTCTCGAATAAAGATAGGAAAAAAGCTTCATAATTAAGGAGTAAGGAAGAGAGGGGTAGAGAGGAAGAGATGGAGAGAGAGAGTGGAAGATTATTCATATCTCAGTTGTATATGCTATCCTTATCTATTTGATTAGCCAACCTGCTCATCAAAACAAGTGCTGTTTTTCATTATTTTGCACTGGCCTGCACAAAAGTAACTTGTACTTTGAGTAATTTTATAACCAGGTACTTTTTTTACTTTTACTTCAGGTACTCATTTTTATGGGAGTAATTGGACTTTTACTTGAGTATAGATTTTCAGTACTCTACCTACCATTGGTGTTTTCACAGATGTCTGTGACAGGGTGTGGAATGAGTCACACCTCTTCTGTGTTGATAGAAATAATAATAATGATGCATTAATGATAAAGTGCATGGAAATGAGATTACAATAAGTTTACAAAAATAAAAAAAAATGTGTTTAGAGGTAAAAACAGAACAAAAGGAAATAAAACACAAAAGTTACAAATCCCAAAAGTACTTATAAAACATTAAAAAGGAAAGTTTTCCTCTAAAAATATGTTTTAAGCAATGATTTAAAAAATGGGTAATGTGCTAGCCTAATCTCCTCATGCAGAGAATTCCAGAGCCTTGGGGTCTCAATGGCAAAAGCCCGGTCACCTTTAGTTACCAGCCTTGATCTTGGGACGACTAGTGAAGGTAGGCTTGAGAATCTAAGGTAACGACTTGGAGAACAGGTAGTCAGAAGCTCAGCTATATAATTGGGGGCTAAACCATGTTGAGCTTTAAAAGTTATTCAAAGAATTTTAAAATCAATTCTGAAGTTAACCAACAACCAATGGAGGGAGGCCAGAACTGGGGTGCTATGTTATACCTACAATCTTTCCCTGTTAAAAATACGAGCTGCAGCATTCTGTACTAGTTGAAGCTGAGCTACTACAGATTTACTGAGGCACGTAAACAGTGCATTGTAGTAGTAAAGGTGTGAGAATACAAAAGCATGAATTAGCCTTTCTAGGTCAGGGAAAACACAGCTGATTTAAGTTAGGTTATATTTCTTAGGTGGAAGTAGCAGGATTTAATGAGATTATTGACATGTGGTTCAAATTTAAATTGAGATTCAAAAGCGATGCCTACATTTTTCGCTGTAGATTTTATATTAGTTGCCAGAGCAATAAACAGTTGTAATATGCTTGCTGGGTGATTAAGATCAAAGATTATTACTTCTGAAAATTACAAGTCATCCATTTCTTAATAGCAGTAATGCCTGGTTCACACTACTACTACTACTACTAATCTATAATTTCATCTCGTGTAGTGTGTCACAGTAGACGACAACTGACGCCACATCTGGGACGCCTCATGACGTTCCAACAGAGAGTCTAGCATGTTTGATTTTCTTTTTGTCAATCACACTTTCTCCCGTCACAGCAGTCACTTTGACCAATAGAAACACAGAGCGATCTGCTGCCGTAGACATTTGTGCGGCAACAACACCCCAGCCTTAACTGCCATTAGCATCAAGCTAGCAAACAATGTTATTTATTTATAATGGAGACGGAAATAAAGTAAGAAAATAAAAAAATGGTGGCTTTTACTTACCACAGCTGCAGAGGCTACCAGCTTCATTTGAAATAGACTACATCATAAACGGGCCATTATTTACTATTCCCTCTATGTTTTTATATTTTTACTTTTTATCCACTCCTGGTTGCCTTGATAAAGGTAATGCATCGCGCTGTCATTTCAAACTCAACACTTCCTCAATCTGTTTCAAATTAAAAGCCCTTTATAACTTCGGTTGAGAGAATCCCTTCATTTTCTAAATAGGCTTTTATTGTGAAACATTTGCAGGAACTTGTTGTGGAGGATTCAGTGACTTGCATGTTTGCGTACGCTAGACTTCAAATGTAGCTCCTGCCATCCACTGGCGCTTTTTACATTACTACAAAAACATTTCGGCTCGCACATGAACAGACACAGTGACTGAAATAATAGCAATAATAATAAAAATAGGACATGAATAACCCGATGATGTCACACACATCATGACAGATGACCAGGTATGATTGGTGTGGACCATCGTGTAGTCTGGCATGTCTGTTGGCCAAGTCACGGCACGATTTTATTACTCCACAATCGCGTAATGTGACATAGTGACTGTCAGAGTGGACAGAAATGTCATGTAGTGTGAACCAGGCATTAAGCACTCCATTAAAGTGCTCAGACAGCTAACATTATCTGGCTTCTGTTAACATCTGTGTCTGTGTGTGTTTATGTGTGTGTGTATTGGCAACTATCAGATGCTGCATCTAAGCATGCAGCACAAGCCTTCTTCGACTGCCTGCGGACTGAAGTGGAGGAGTATGGGATAATTATCAGCACCATCAGTCATACCTTCATCAACACCTCTGAGGAGCCACCTGTGGAGGAGCAGGCCCCTGAACCGAACGCCCTGGCTGCATGTGAGTAAAAGAACCAGAGACCTAAAGGTAACGACATATAAAAAATAATTCCAAATGGTGTTTCAGTTTATGGAAAATGGATAGGAAGTGTGAAGCCTATTTGTTGTAGTATAGAGACAAATCTCAATGTATCTGTTCTTCCACAGTTATCTCCAGCCAGTTGACCCATGGTGTGCACCCATCAGTCCTGGCCAATGAAATTATTCAAACGGTAAACAAGAGGAGGAGGGAGGTTGTTCTGGCCCACCCTATCCCCAGGGTGGCCCTCTACCTCCGCTCTCTCTTCCCCTCCTTCCTCTTTGCTGTGCTGGCTGCTGGAGTGAAGGACTCAGTCCTGGCTGAGCCAATGCAGTAGGAGAAAATCTGAAATGGAATCACAAAGAGATGTAAAATGAAGAAAGATTTTTTTTTGGAAATGGCAGATATATATAATGTATGTGTATGTGTTCCTTAAGCAAGGCTTAAATGGCAGGAGTTTTGGGCCTAATTATCTCTGAATCAGCGCTCCCAAAACTCGAAAGAGAACTCTGGTCTGGGACCTTGGTTGGTACTGATGTTAGGCCCAGATGATCTGATAATGTGAGATGTTAATAGATCCAGTCTTAAACCTCCTGAACTACTCACAGACTCATTGGGGCTGCCTCAATAATTTCAAACTTGTTCGATATTTAGAATTTAAAATCATTACAGCAAGCTGTTACTACACATCAGTCTCTGTTTGGTTGACATTTGCTCCCTCTGGCATGATAATCTCAATAATACCCTGTAGTGTGTGATGCAGCATTATTTTCAAATCTCGTAGTGTGTGCATGTTTAAGATTAGAGAGATGCCATCTGTGAAGTTTCTCCTTATCTGAAGGCTTCAGGTTTATCATGTGGCAATTAGTTTGTGGTAATTTAATTAAAGTTATAACCCATAAGATTTTACACTTACATTTTGTAATGATCTCTCCATATAGATTTCATTATTGATGGCAGAATCCACCATCCCCTTTAAATTACCTTCACATGCACAAGGCATTCACATGAAACAATGCATGTATGTGATTCAGTGGTACTTTTTGTACTTTTATCTCCTTTATATTAGCCCCACTGTTTATTTTATGCCCCTCCTACCACTGTGTCAGCGCAAACAGCAAGTCAAGTACATGTAATAAATATTCATCTTGAATTTTATCATGTGTGCATTGTAAGTTTTTCAGTTGATTTACAGATTGATATAATGCACTATATGTATAGAAAAAACAGTACATGCAGAGTACTCATTGTTAGTATTTGCAGATGGAAAAGGCTTAATAGGCTATTTGCAGTGGTGGAATGAAACTGAGTTTATTTACTCAAGTACTACTTAAGTACAATTTTGAGTTATTTTATTTCAGTATTTTCATTTTATGCTACTCTAGGGAATCAAAAAAGGCCAAAAGTTTTTGAATCTTGTAAGCAACTGAATAACTACTTGTGAAAACTTCTCACTTCTGTTTACTCATTGTTAAAATTTAGCACCAATTATATTATGTCAGAATCTTCTACAGTGGTTGAAAAAAGTTTTCGGACACCCTTAAAATTTTACACAATCTCAAATATTATCATGAAATATTTGTGGAAAAATCTTTTTTGTGTTTCAAAAGGTGTGGCTGCATTAGACAGATACAAACAAATACAAATTATATTTTTTTGTTTATTGTTTACAAGAAAAACTAACAAAACTAAATTCTTGACAGTTTCAATATGTCAGTTCTCAACATTGTCGGTATCAAAGTCAACAAATAACAGAGAATGTGTTCAAAATTGAACAAAAAATAAATAAACCATCACATCATCAAATTAATATTTAGTAGTCCTGCCATTGGCATGTAGTAGAGCTCTAATCCTGGCTGGCATGTTCCCCACGAGCCTTTCACACTGTTGAGGGGTAATCTTGTCCCATTCTTCTTGAATTACTGCTTTTAATTCTTCTAAATTCTTTGGTTTATGCTTTGAAACAGACCTTTTGATAATCCACCACAGATGTTCAATGAGGCTCATGTCCGGGGATTGAGCTGGCCACTCTAATACCTGGATACTGTGCTCCTGCAGTAAAGTTCTACTGGCCTTGGATGTGTGGCATTATCTTGTTGAAACATCCAGTTTTTACCTCGACGGAACAGTGCACGCGCAGAAGGGAGCATGTGGGTTTCGAGAATGGTACAATACTTGGTAGAGTTCAATGTGCCATCACAGACAGTGAGATGACCAACACCAGCAGCACTCATGCATCCCCAAACCATGATACTGCCTCCACCATGCTTGACAGTAGGTACTGTACATGCTGGAGATAATGCTTCGCCTGGCCTTCTGCGTACCCTCACATTAGTAGGAGGAAGATAGAGCTGGAAACTGGACTCATCTGACCACAAAATCTTCTTCCAATTCCTGGCTGTCCAGTTCTTGTGTGCCTGGGCCCAACGACGCCGGGCTAACCTCTGTCTCTCATTGATCTGGGGCTTCTTGATAGCCTTGTAGGACCTTAAGCCATGATCTAAAAGTCGGCCACGTACAGTGCGGGTGGAACACTGGACACCAGTTTGGTTTGACCACTGCTGCTGAAGCTCCTGTGATGTCATTCGGCGGTTTTGCCTGCACATGTGGATCAGGATGCGGTCATTTCTTGCTGAAGAAACCCTTGGACGCCCAGATCTTGGTTTGTCTTCCAAGCTGTTGGTTCGTCTGTATTTCTGCAGAGTGTATCCAACTGCTGAAGGACTGCATCTGCACTTCCTGGCTATCTGGCGGCAACTGTACCCTTCCTGGCTGAGAATCTTTATCTTCAGGCGTGTTTCCTGCGTTAGGTTCCTTGTTTTAGCCATTTTTGTGTCTGAAGAACTTTCAAATGTGCTGGCTTTATGTAGACACGAAGCTTGGCAACAAAAATTGTGTCTTTTAATAAAAAGAATGATCTTCATCACTGGTACCAAAATGACCCAATACTCAAAATTTCTTATGTATTTTTATGGAACCCATCAATTTTAAGTTTTTAATGGCTTTTTTAGGATTTATTTAGTATTTTGGCTGTGACTGTACTAAAAGAAATTGCACTTGAAGACCTAAGAGTGATTCTTAATGCAATATTTCACAAATGCATGGGGTGTCCGAAAACTTTTTTCCACCACTGTATTTCTCCAGTCACCTATCTGGATTTATGTGATGTGAATTCCTCTCTCAGAAGATAATTTAAATTCAGACATTATATACAAGTGTCCAATATTTAAAAACTGCTACTCAAGTTGTTCAGAGTACATCTGTAACTTTCATGGTAAGACATCTAAATTTAATGACAAATTCAAATATTCTGGCTGATGAACAGTCAGACCTGAAAATAATCGTTTAGACATCTTTATCACATGATCCAAAAAAGATAAGTTCATCTGAGTGACAAAGAAATTGGAACACATACATTATTTGACTGAGAGAGTACAAAACTAACCACTGGAAACCATTGAAAAGTAAAGGATCTCTAGGGGTTCAAGCCTGAAGAGGTGAAACCCTATAATTTTTGTACTGTTTTATTATTATTATCAGGGGCTGGGCAGGCAGTCTTGCCAGGACCCTCTTGTTTTCCTGCTCATTCTTTCTTCTTCTTCTTCTTCCGAGGAAATCCTACTTCCCATGCGCAAAAAATCACCAAACTTTGCACAAAGGTCCAGTCCTATGCCAGATTTGCTCAGCTGTAAACACAAGTCAATAGTCCCGATGGTGGCGCTACAGCAAGCATCTAAAGTTGCAACTTTCATCAAAATGTAGCCCCAATACTGACAAAACTTTTGTACATTTAAACTTATTGCAAATTATGAAGTCAATCACTCTGTTTTTTTCAAAAACTGTAAAACTTCTTAAACCTATGTCCTCCCACAATTTTTGCTCAGTTGACACCGAACTTGCTACAGAGCATCTTCAGACTGTCCTTCACTAATTGTATTCACAGATTTTTCAAAAATTTAACCTACAGTGCATCAAGATGTTTGACTGTAAATAGTACTGTAAACATACACTTGCAAATTCTTGCTAAATAGCCTAAGTTTTCAATGTTCATGAAAAAAATTACAAAATTTTGGAGTCATGGTAAAGGATGTTGAATATCAGAATTTTATATCAAAAACTAAATTTTTGACAGCATTTTGAATTTTGCTGTCATGTGAACAACTGGAGTCAATGCAAGAATGGCAATTTCAAACATCAGTTTTTCACTTATGGAGTAAATCAATCATCGTTAAAAAAACACCCCAAATTAACAACATCTCCATGCTGTCTAGATGCAATATGTGTATTTTCAGATTTTTGTCTTGATAACTGAATTTATGACAGCAGTTTGAAATCTGCCTTGACAACTGCTGTCATCCTGGTGGCTGGCTTAGTCAATTTGTGAAGTCACAGATGAGTTGTCACTTCCTATTTAGCGCAGTAAATAGAAAATGTTCCTTGGTGTCAGAGGTTGTGAGTTCAAGCCTCAGCTAATGCAAATTATACATTGTAATGTCAACTTTCTTGGTGTCTTCCTGTTCTGCCTCTTGTTGCTCAGAATTGCCTAAATTTGCGTAAAATTGCCTAAAATTGCCCAGCCGAGACCATTGCAGCGCAGCAGCTATTATTATTATTGTTATTATTATGATTCAGTAATGTTTCACACATCGAAAGACATTAATTTTATGTATTTCTTTTTGAAAGGTCATGCCCATCATTGCAGAATGACTTGAATTTTAAAAAATATGTTCAGCTCAATGTGCTCTACGAAAAGCCTCAAGACCCATTAAGGTCCACCTGACTAGTATTTCCGCCATTTTAAATTTTTGAAAAACACATTTTTGACATCGCCTAAACAGTAGGTCTGATTGATTAAAATTTTCTGTGGATCATCATTAGGCCTAGCTTATCAAAAGTTATCAAAAGCTTGATGATATCTCATTGTGTTTTGATGATGTTGACCGATGATATTTAGAGATGATGTGACTTCTTTAGCTAATCATCATCACAAAAGTTGGAACCTGGAAACATCCAGTACCTGAAACATACCTTGAAAGTTTCATTCAAATCGACTGCTAGGGGGCACTACAAATGCAAAGTTTGCGTATCATAATTAGGTAGTTTTGCACCATCTAGGGTCATGTCTTAGTGATGCATAAAATTTGGAAATGATTGCTTAAAGAGGGCGTGGCTTATTATCAGTCAGTCAGTCAGTCAGTCAGTCAATCAATCAATCAATCAATCAATTTTATTTTAAGTCCAATATCACAAATAACAATTTGCCTCAGAGGGTTTTACAGCAAACGACATCCCTCTGTCCTTTGGATACTCATAGCAGAGCAGCATAGGAAAAACTCCCCCCAAAAAACCCTTTAACAGGGAAAAAATGGTAGAATTTATGACAATAAATTTAAATTTCCGGACTTCCGGTTTGGTGAGCATGTGAAGGCAGCGCGGTCTCCGTCTCCTGTAACGTTTACCTTTGAAAACCCCCATTTTTTCCAACACCCGCACTATCTCGAGAAAGGGATAACACTCTAAAGCTTCGAAAAGCCACGACAATATGTTGAAAACAACAAAACAGCAAAAAAAGCCCAACGCGGAAGCCTCAACCGCTTGCAGCA